GCTTCCTAAATAAGATCTTATGTGTGAAAGTAAAAATAAATCCTAAAGTAGTACGGGAGCTCTGGTGGCCTACTGGTAAGATGTTACACTGACAACCCAAAGGTATGCGGTTCAAATCCACCAGCTGCTTCACCAAAGTAAAGATGGACAATCTCCTCCTATGTGATTAACTGCTTATGAAAGCCTTCTGGATGGTCAATGATGGGTCAGTTCCAGCTCAATGATACACAACAGCAACAAGAAAGTACAGTAGCTTTGCAGTGGATGTAACAATAACTAGCTGTATGATCCTAAGCAATTCATGTTTTGACCCATAATTAGGTCTTTGCTTTACCTCCTGGAAAGAGAGAGGTTTGAACTAGGTAGAGCTTCAGGTACCTTCTCATCTTAAGTGTCTAAGAAACATTTGTGAGACAAACTTTTTATAGTATTTGGAGGCAGGAATGGCATCAACTTCCTAAACAACATGCCTCTGGAAACACTATGAAATTTGATAAATGTCAATAGTTGTAGAGGGGCTTCAGGCCTTTTGTTCATAGGATCCAGCTTTCTGGAACTTGCAATTTGTCCTAGGTTAGGGAAAGAGAAATATATCTCAAGTTTAAGCTCTATGGGGCTTTTCAAAGAGACAAGGTTTTTAAGCATGCGGGCTCCATGGTCAGATTGTACATCCCAAGGTCACTGGCTGCAGTGTAGAGGCTATGTGGCAAACTTATCTGTAGGATTATGACTCAGCAATTCTGGCACTACTTTCCATGCACTTGTTGTTGTTAGTTGCCATCCAACGCATGGAAATCCCACATATATCAGCGTAGGACTGCTCCATTTTTCTTGGTGTGACCTTGTGGAAGCAGATTGCAAGGCCAATCTTCTGGAGGTTCTCTAGATGTGTTTGAACCACTAGCCTTTTTGCTAGCAGTTGAGTGCTTAGCTATTTGTAACAACAAGTGACTGCTTTGGAGAAAGTCTGGAGCAGGGAAAGCAGGCAGGAGGTTTCTGCAGCACCAATGAGCGGGGTGAGCATCAATGAGGAAGAGAAGGCAGGAGAGCAGAGCAGGGAATGAGACATAGGAGACACTTTTCACTTGAAAGTGAAAGAAAGTCGTGGACAACTGAATGACGGTGAGTTAGAGTTTAGATTGATGCCAGTTTCTGGTCTGGATGCATGGATGGATGGATGGATGGATGGATGGATGGATGGATGGATGGATGGATAAGGAACATGAGAGAAGAGAAGCAAGTTTCTTGGGGAAGATGTAAAATTTGAGTTAGGTAGGGTGAGTTACAGGTTTCCTTGGAACACTGAGGTAGAGGTATTGAGTAAATAGTTGCATATGTAGGTTTGTTTCTCAGGAGAGAGATTTGCACTAGAGGGCTGGATCTGATCACTCAAAGATATGGTAAGAATAAGGTGCAAGAAGAAGCAAGTCAAAGGTGAGCCCTTGAACAACATCAACAATAGTAGTAGACTAGGAGAGATTGGCACCAGGGCATTCAGTCTGTGGAGGTGAATAGAGGTGAGGCATATGGGTAGTGCAAAGGCAGGTGGTATAATATCTATTGTTGCTGTTGTTGATTGCCTTTGAGTCAAGCACAACTCATAGAAACTCTATGAACCAAAGACTTGAAGCTCCTCTATAAGTATTGACATTTATCAAAGTTACATCTGCACGGCAGGGTAAAGCAATGCTTTCTTTTGGGTTCTTGGCACATAGTAAGCCAATCAGTTAAAAACAAAACACAACAAACAAATGACAACAAAAAAGAGCATGTTACATAAGCTGTCTAGGCTTCCAGTTTCTCTGTGCATTTTGT